TACTAATAAGCAAAAATTACTCTAGACAAACATTTGTGTGTCTTTGTTTATTGCTGAAGTTTGTTGAAATTTCTTCTTCTGTATTCTACTGTACGGACGTAAATTTACTTTCCCTTCAGCCTGAGGCTTATTCATTTCACTTTTGGTGTGAAAAGGCTTTTATATTTGCCAAAAATAGAACTTTTTTATTTTAAAATCAAACAAGCAAGCCCTGTCCAGATTTTAAAAGTAGCGCAAAAAAAACCGTAACGCATTAATTTCCATAAAAAGTAACTAAGTAACGTAGTTACTGTTTATGGAGTAACGCAATATTGTAATGCATTACTTTTAAAAGTAACTTTCCCCAACACTGGTAATAACGCGCATTAATGTTTTCACTACCGAAACTGATAAACTGGTTATAGAATTATTAGGTTACAAAATACAAAATTGAACCTGAAGAAGTTTACTAACAACACAAGAGCAGTGTCATAATGACTAATGTCTCATTGTGTTGTAATAAACACTTACTGTAGTCTTCAGTGTGAGCGAGAGGATGGAAAAATATAGGATAAAAAGCCACAGCAACTGCTGCAATGAAGCCTCCAAATATGAGCGTTACCCTCCTATTAGCAGACATGATTTTGATTATTTGCTAGATTCACCTCATCCGAGGACAGAAAGCAACTCTTTCGTGCTCTTCCGGGGTGAATATTAAAAACAAGTTTAAAGTCTGTTATTATTTAACACCTGTTCTCCATTGAATATAGCGTATATTTAAAATGATTGTCATTTAAAATGTATTTTACATAAATGTGATATCATACTGGTAAAAGTTTATATTGTGAGCTAACAGTATAGCGGAATAATGTTTGCCAGTTGGGCTTTTATTTTGTCGCGAGGTCTCCCGTCATGCTGTGGGTGTGTTTGTGTGTGTGCAGTGTTGCTGTGTCAGTGTGTGCAGGGTTCGCTGTGTCTCATCAGTCATAATGTCCGGCAGTAACTCATACAGACTGCGCTGCTCTCTCGCCGCGCATGAGATGGATGTCAGGGGGCTCGCCGCCTTCGCGTTTCCCGACGGAGCCTTTGTGTCCGTGTCCAGAGACCGAACCGCGCGGGTCTGGGTACCAAACCCAAGGTACATCGCCAGCTTCCTCCTGCTGTCTCTGAGACCCGGTCTGCTTTTCGTTTCGTTGGTTACTAAGCTGAGGGGTAATACGTTTTCAGAGTTGGTTAGTTAATGTATTGAGAGGGGTTGCCAAATCAAGTGAAATTTGGCAACTCGTAAGCATCATAGCTGAAAGGAAACTGACCGGGTTTGGTTTCCTGACAGCGACCGATCTATAAAAAAAAAACGATGAAACGTTAAAGGAGTAGTTCACCCGAAATGAAAATTAAATCTCTTGTTGTTCCAAGCCCTTATCATTTTTTTTCTGTGGAACACAGCTGAAGATCAGGCACCTATTCATTTGAATCTTTTCCATACAGTGAATAGCGATTGAGTCTTTCTGCCTAACGGCTAACGTCTGCTTTTGTGTTTCACAGAAGAAAGAAAGTCATACACGCTGGAGGAGTTTTTGCGTGAACTGTCTCTTTAAACTTCACTAAGCGACGCGTTCTCTGAATTCACTGAGATTCAGTTCAATTCAACTCAGTTGAGTTCAGTTTAGTGAAGCTTTATGATTTGTTTATTGGTGTACAGCATTGCTAAGTAAAATAAATAAATAAATAAATAAATGTACCTACCTCAAACTTTTGAACGGTATTGTAAATAGGATAGTTAATAAAAACACATGACCAACATCTGTTTAACTCTTCTGTTCTTTCTTCTGCAGTGAAAACCAGGTTTTTACAGAGATGCACTGTATGAACGGCCACTCAAACTTTGTGTCTTGCGTGTGTATCATCGCTCCTAATGAAACATACCCCCGAGGACTCATCGCCACTGGAGGACATGACAATAACATCTGTGTGTTTTCACTAGACCGACCAGACCCTCTGTTCACCCTCAAGGGTCACAAAAACACCGGTACCGTCCACTGCTAATGATGTATTACAGTGATGTAACTGCGTGCAGGTTGTCTTGAAATGCCATTGGAATGATTTCTCGAGCCATACCTGATGTTTTTTTGTGTGTGTTTACAGTCTGCACACTCTCAGCTGGTAAGTTTGGCACAATACTAAGTGGCTCATGGGACACTACAGCCAAAGTCTGGCTTGGAGAGAAGTGCATGATGACTTTACAGGTAAAGTGGCATGGTTTTTGGTATCACCATAGTGGTATTGCGATTTGGCTTATTGTGATTTATCGCAAAGGCTGCGATTTAAAAAAAATATGAGCTGTGTGTTTCAGAGTGAAGCGTGGTACTGTGTTCTTTTACAAACATCAGCTCATGATCCAGTGTTTTCAGTGTCTCAGAGCAGCTCGTAATATGCTGCTCCACACTAACACAAAATGCACCAAACCTTTTTCCCAACTTACAAACCAGTAAAAAAAAAAACATTTCACTTTAGGAACTTGGCAGTTGGTGGTTTTTTGCCAAAGGAAATGTTTGATAAAAATAAAGAAATTAAGTTGTACTGTAAAAAAACAAAAAGTATATTATTTTTTTAAATACTTATTTTTATTTATTATTTTATTTTATAATGAAATATTCCAGTAGTAATATTTCACATTTTTTAATTATTATTATTTATAGTGATATTTCGATATTAACAATTTTTGGACCAAAATGTGCAGCCTCACAAATATGCACCGCAAACCTTTGCAATGACATTTTAAATCGTAATCATATTTTTTTATCATGAAATCACATTTTGATATTTTTGTTAACACTGTTAAAGACTTTATGTATGATGCATTATAAAGGCATTCATAATGTATGTTCTAGTGCATTAAATCTTTTCAGAACTAATTGTAACCTAACATAAAATGCATTATAATATTTGCAGATTCCTAAAATTTTAACATTGATTGTTTGTCCTTTTTAATGCATTATACATTATAAAGGTGTAACAATAAATGGAAAATTATTATAATGTATTATAACCTATTATAACTATTATTATTATTATTATTATTGAGATCATACATTGCATTATAAAGTGCATTAGATATTTATACATATGAAATGTTAATGATGTTAATGACATTAAATCTTTTCAGAACTAATTGTAACCTAACATAAAATGCATTATAATATTTGCAGATTCCTAAAATTTTAACATTGATTGTTTGTCCTTTTTAATGCATTATACATTATAAAGGTGTAACAATAAATGGAAAATTATTATAATGTATTATAACCTATTATAACTATTATTATTATTATTATTGAGATCATACATTGCATTATAAAGTGCATTAGATATTTATACATATGAAATGTTAATGATTTTTTTTTTGTCATGCAGCCCTACATCACAGCTTTTCTTAAATAATATGTTTTTTTTCTTCTCCCCACACTGTACCTTTAAAAGGGAGATCAGATATACTCACATTGCCTGCAATCAATTTCAGTAGAGTGTGAGTATGTGCGTCACGCAGCCCTACATCACAGCTTTTCTTAAATAATATGTTTTTTTTCTTCTCACCACACTGTACCTTTAAAAGGGAGATCAGATATACTCACATTGCCTGCAATCAATTTCAGTAGAGTGTGAGTATGTGCCGACTGGTTTCTTGTGTAATTGCTGCTCCTCAGGGACACAGTGCCGCTGTATGGGCCGTAGTCATTTTACCAGAGCAGGGCTTAATGCTGTCTGGATCAGCTGACAAGACCATCAAGCTATGGAAGGCTGGTCGCTGTGAGAACACCTACACTGGTACATTGGTGCATTTGATACTTCTAATGCTTTCAACAGTGAAACAATGTTTATGTGATGTTGAATATAGACCGTGTGGAGCTTGTTTAGTTTTATCAGATCTCCAGCAGGGGTCAGCATTATGCAGTTTTTGACTCCAGCTGTGTGCGATATTTGTAATGTGTCTGTCCTGCAGGTCATGAGGATTGTGTGCGAGGGCTCGCTGTGATAAACGAGGTGGAGTTTTTCTCCTGCAGTAATGACGCCAGCATTAGACGGTGGATGGTGACGGGTGAATGTGTGCAGGTTTACTCTGGTCACACTAACTACATCTACAGCCTTGCTGTCTTCCCTAACGGACAAGGTGCTTACCTTCAGTTTTGCTGTAGGTTAGATATGGTGCTACATATTTGTGCATAAAATCTTAATTATTTCCCATATTGTCTTCTTTTTTTCCTGTTCTAGACTTCATAAGCACTGGAGAGGACAGGACACTGAGGGTCTGGAGGAAGGGGGAATGTTCCCAGACTATCCGTCTTCCTGCCCAGTCGGTGTGGTGCTGCTGCATTCTGCCTGATGGAGACATTGCTGTGGGAGCCAGGTATACATACTGTTTCTGTTTCATATATCTAAACTATTTGCAGTTTATTATGCTGCATGACCATGTCACGTTTCTCTGAAGCGATGGCGTTATCCGTGTGTTCACCGAGAGCGAAGAGCGTGTAGCAAGTGCTCAGGACCTGCAGGCTTTTGAGGATGAGCTCTCCAAAGCCATCATCGACCCCAAGACTGGAGATTTGGGTGACATCAAGATAGAGGACTTACCTGGCAGAGAGCACCTGAATGAACCAGGTGAATGGATTGAGGTGTATTTTGAACACATGTAGTGTTCTCAAGAATGTTCAGTGTTACTGTTGTATTATTCAGACCTGCCAACCTGTACGCATTTTGCGTAGCGGGTACGCATTTTGACCTTAAAGTACGCTGGTACGATTTGTCACTCTAAACTATGCAAAAACCTGGTGACCTGTCCACGCGCAGTAAACAAGCAACAGAAAAAGATGAGGAGTTCAACCAATCATAGCGTTTTCCGTGTTTTTTATTTCTCTCCAAACTGGCTCTGTTTGTGTGTCCGTGAGTCGTGCGCCGAGATGAGGAAACACATGTATGGTATTTCCTGGAGTCATGAGCTCTATTTCTTCGGTGATGCATATGTGGACTTTCTGCGCGGGGGAACACCCTAGAGTATCTAGTATGAATGAAACAGACATTACATGTGTTCATAGCACTAAATAATGGCCAATCTATAAAACAAATACTTCTCTCAAAATACAATTAAGGTAGACATGTGATAATCCATGTTTTTCTACAGTGTACAACAATGTACTGGAGTTTTACTTAAAGTATACTGGAGTTTGTTTGTTTTAAATAGCATTTAAAATCGCTAAAAATAACTCTGTTGTGCCAAACCATCAGAACCAAACTGAAAACTGTGTTTAAAAAACTGAGGTATTTATTGAACCTTGGGCTAACTGTATTGTTGCATTCCTACTGTTTACTCTAAAATACTGTATAACAGGAATATCACAAACTGAGTGCAGACTCTGAGTACTAACCTGTGAAAAATATTTAACATGAAGTCTAGCATTTTGCACATTGTGCAATTACGATTTTGACATTAGCCATCAAGGAGCTTCAAGCAATGTAGGAATAGGCTATATGACCCCCGGATAAACTCACTTAGTTTATATCTCGCAATTCTGACTTTATAACTCGCAAATGCGAGTTTATATCACGCAATTCTGAGAAAAATCTGAATTGTGAGTTTATATCAATTACTTTTAAAAACAAAATGTTATTCAGTGGCGGAAACAGGCTTCCATAAATGATAGTATTTATTAATATCTTGATTT